GGGGGGGTTCTTGATGATTTCGGTGTTCTGATAACAATTTATTAAGACACACACTCGTACCTGCTCTAACAACCATCGACACTATTTAGATCATTTAGGAGGTGGGGCTTCCCAACCCAGGCTGAGAGTGAGAGGAATACAACATGATCCTGGCAGAAAGACGCAGAGATGCTAGAGAGAGAAAAATTCTCCCGCACTCTGGAATTGAACTCGGGTCTCCTGAGTGGGACAGGGGAGTGCTTTATGGCTACACCTCAGACACTGGTATTTTGATTTAGTGGGGTTTTTTTTTTTACAATTTTGTCTACAGTACTTATTTGGTTTACAATTACCTGTACACATGTAGTTGATTTGTAATTATACGATACCGTAGTTTGTTCGTTCTCTGTTCATACACCCCTTTTACAATCAAAACCACATTGCTAGAGAATACTGTCCTTTATTCTGCTTTGAGACACTACATTTTCAAGAGCCATATATTTTTCTTTCCTTTGATGTTAAATGAATGTACTTTTAAAAAATGTGATTAAAATGAAAAAATACCTGATATTTGTATAATATTTCAGTTTTTATTTATTTGTTCCTTAATTTGTCTTCCAAGCAGTTTTGTTTTTCTGTCAGTGTGAATGAATATCATAACAATGGGTAGCAGAGTCTCTGTCTTTGAAGGATTTAAATGTTTCTTCTTTTACTGTCTTTGCTAATCCCTTCGTAATCGCAAGTGGTTGGAGGGTGCTCTGGTGTGGTTTGCTCTTTCTTTCCTGTCAAACATCTACCATCCTTTTCTCTCCTCCTCCTTTTATGTGTTTGTTACTCTCTCATAACACCTGTAATCTCCGCCGGCTCACATGTACACCTTGACTTTATTGTGTTGCGAGTGATAGAAAACTTTTACTTAGACTAAAAAACCTTCAAAGTTATATATATATATATATATATATATATATATATATATATATATATATATATATATATATACATAGAGAGAGAGAGAGAGAGAGAGAGTCATTTTTTTCTCTCTAAAGTATGAGGTCTGTTCCAGAAGTAGATTTCTCTGTTCTCTAAATTCAGCATTTGTTATTTTACAGACATGAAATTTTGTACATGTATATACCCAAAGAAACATTGTGGGTGGTTGGCGGATGCTCTGGTGTGGTTTGCTCCTTCTTTCCTGTCAAACATCTATTACCCGATATCCTTACTCTCCTCCTTTTTTGCGTGTGTTACTCTCTTGTAACACCTCTAATCTTCGGCACTTATATATATATATATATATAGGCTATATATATATATATATATATATATATATATATATATATATATATATATATGTATGTTATATATATATATATATATATATATATATATATATATATATATAAAAACAAAACTAAAGAAACATTTTGCATCGGTGGTCTAGTGGTTAGGCTGTTGGGCTTGCAACCAAAAGGTTGTGAATTCGAATCCCGTCAGGGACCTGATCTAGTGTCCTTGGAAAAAGTAGCCTACTTTTCAGGATTTTGTTTTACTTCACCCAGATTTAATGGGTCATCGGTCGTAGACAGCGAGAGATCTTGTCAGTTTGTTAGTCTTTGAGCACTTAATGATAACAGGCAAGTTAATCAGCTACTTGCACTGTTTGCTTTCTGGGAAGCCGAAAATGTTTCTGAATGCTCAAGTTCAAGGGTGTGCAGCGCTGGGGTAATGATATAGACTGTAAAACGCATCAGAGCTTGCTGTTGAGCAGGGATATGCATTATAAAAGTATATTTAATATTTTTGTATTATTAGTACCATTATTATTATTATTATTATTATTATTATTATTATTACTGCTATCATTGTCATTCTTCTTCTTACTATTATTATCATATGATTAGTCAACAAAACAACCATTACTCTCAATGCACTTTTTCATCCGATGTAGCCAGCAGTTAAAGGCAGTGGCTAAAGTCTGTAAAAGATCTTGTCGTCAGTTTGTTAGTGTTTGAGCGGGGGCTCTCGTGGCCTAGATTTTAAGGTGTTCGCCTCTCATTCAAAGGTCCCGGGTTCGAATCCGGGTAGCGACGGAAAAATTTTCTTCTCTAAAATTGTCTCCTTTCACCTTCTTTCCTGCTCTCTGGCAATGTTCTGGCGTCTGCTTTCGTCTCCACTTTCTGCCCCCACCCACTCACCTCCTTTGCCCCCTCGTCTGGGCTCTCGACTCTTTCTGCAGCCTTTCTACTGCTACTCGTGGCTCCTCCTTGCATTTTGCATGCCGATTTTCTCCATGTGGTGTCTATCTATTGACCAAAAATCCTTCACTGCAATAATGATAATCAAAACTAATCGTAAGCAATGATTATACAGTCTATCACTTTCCCGTTGTAAATTGTAAATGGATTCCCTACTCCCAAGATTCTTTAACTGCAATAATTGTTTGAAATGAATATTCTTAAACAATTTAACAGTTTATCACATTACCGTATCACAAACGGATTCTCTACTACCAATTTAAGATTCCTAAACTGCAATGATAAAAAATTAAGAATAAACCTTTTTAAACAATTAACAGTTTACCACATTATCACAAAGAGATGTTCTACTAATAATGTTAATTAGCCAAAGCTCTTTCTGTGGTTTTCTCCGGTTCAACAAGAACTACAAACGTAACATTCGTCATTAAAAGAAGATCACAAATTATTACAGTTACAGACTATAATATAATAAGACTGCTCCATATTATGATATTTTTATGTAAGGATTTCCTGCTTTGGAGCCAGAGACCGATTATATTATATATATATATATATATATATATATATATATATATATATATATATATATATAGATCTAGTAATTTTCTTTTTTTTTTAACGGGAGTGTCACTGTGAGGGTCACACAGGGTTACACAGTACTGTGGTGTCTGCAATTTGCTAACAGGATAATGGGATAATGAAAAAGTTCCCTTATAAATGCTTTAAATTTTAGAAATTCGAACTTTAGACCCACCCCTTTTTTTTTTTTTTTTTTTTTTTTTTTGGATGTGTTTTTTCTCGAAGGAAGGCGGGTAGATCTAGGGTTATTGTCTCTTTAATTGTTTTAATAACCAACTAACCACCAATTGTGATAACTGCCGCGTTTTCTTTCATATCAATGTAGTCTTTGTTTCTTCTTTCTACCAAGATATTATAGTAGGTATGCGTGATCTGCGAGTGGTCTGAGAATGCTATAAATAAATGATAGTATTATGTTTGTGTGGTACTTTCTGAAGATAACAGTCCGAGAACATCAGAGTCCGAGGTTCTGGGGTATCTTTATCAAGAATAACGCTCAGCTCTTCTTTGTGTTAGTTTTAGTATCGGTCGACTTAGACGTCATAGAATTTTGTCTTCTGATTCTGTTATTACTTATTACTTGTGTTTGGGAGTTCAGTCACTGAACAGGACATTTAAAAGTTTCGTTCCGAAGTCAGTCCATTTTCGGAGAGATTCAACTCTGTGTCTGAAAATCATAGGATTTTTATTTTTATTTTATTTTTTATTTTTGTTTGTTTGCGTGTACCAAGTAGGCCGTGAACAACCGTGTAAGACTCACTAAACAACCACAGCAAAGAAAGGAAGTAAGGCTAAGATCTACCACTACCAGTGGACCACACAGAGATACATTGTAGAAAGAACCGAAGTAGGATCACCAGTTGAGTCGCCCTCCAACCACCCGTACCGACAGAAACAATAGAGGGAAAGAAAGGAAATAGGACCTATCAGCATTGCCACCTTCCAACCACCCGTACAGACAGAAACAATAGAAGGAAAGAAGGGTAGTGGGACTTATTCCAGCAGAGCCACCCTCCAACCACCCGACCCTCCAGTACAACAACAATGAACAACCAGTCTCACCCAGACACAGACAGGCTACCACTACCAGGCCTCCTATCTCACCAACAATTCGTCATACTTCAGAACACCAACGCCTACTCCGCTATCTTCTTCTCTCTCCTCGGCATCGGCTCCAACTTCATGAACATCAAAACTTTCCTCACCATGGGGGCCGATGACGCCGTAACAGTCTCTTTTCTGGGACTGTCCATCTCCGATATCCTCGTCTCGTTGATCCTGCTTTGTCTCGGGATCTCAGGATGTCAACACGCCAACGAGTTGTCACAAGGAGTTCTCTACACCTACGACCCATTCTTCTTTCTGTTGATTTTTGGCAACGCGGCTATGGCGGCCTATACTGTCACTATGCTGACCACCCTGTACATCGCAGTGGCTCGGTGCATGTGTGTGGCCAAACCCCTGCACTTCAAACACGTCTTTACCAAAACCAGATCCGTGATCATCATCAGCGCTTTCGGTGTGTTCTCTACGGCCATGGTAACCCCAGTCTTCGCCAGTTTGGGCATCGTGAAAACTTTCAGTCCTGTCCTCAACGGCACGCGATATGTCCCGTGGTTCGATGTCGGCCTAGAACACGTCAAAGACGCCGTATATTTCGTCACGCTGGTCGTGATCCCCTTCTCCACCCAAGTCATCGTTACTGTCTGCATCATCGTCATGACGTGGAAGCTCATCGAGTCGTCACGCTTCAGACAAAAGTCCACGAAAGGCAGCAACAACGCTGATGGAGGAAACGAAGACGAAAAAAACAACAGCAGCAACAGCAGTAGCAACAACAACAACAGCAACAGCAGCAGTAACAATAGCAACAGCAACAGCAACAGCAAATTGTCGGGGAGAGAGCTGCAGGCTGTACAACAAGTCGTCCTCATCTCCGTTATCTTCGCCGTCTTCAACACACCCATGATCGTCATCGGCGTCTGTGGTCTCGTAGAGCCGGAGTTTGACGCCATCTTTGGCCGACACCGCTACGCTCGCATCTACGCCGTCTGCCACATGATGAGGCGCGTGTGTGAGCAGGTCAACAGCGCCGTCAACTTCTTCATCTACTACAGCTACAACACCAAGTTCAGAAAGCATTGCAAGCTGCTGTCTTGTTAACTACATGATATGTACTTTCGTACTTAGGGTGAGGGATTTTCACCTCTTTGACTAACTACAAAAACCAAATTCTGAAAGCATTGCAAGCCACTATCTTGTTAACTACGTATTACTTTTGCACTTAGAGTGACGGATTATCTTAAGTCTTTAACACTTCAACAACAGCGCCAAGTTTAGAAAGCATTGCAAACTGCTATCTTGTTAACTGCGTAGAACTACTTTCCTACTGGTCAAATGTTTCAGGAGGGAGAATTTAATCTTTAAAAGACTGTTTCATACTTTTAAAGATTCTAATTCTACCCAAATTATGTAATTCTTTTCTTTATTTTTTCAACATTTAGATTCTAAAATAGCTCTGATTCAACACAGTAATGTTTCTGGAGCAAATGCAACTGATCCCACAGATATGAAACAAATAAACGCACAAGCAAGCGCATGAATAAATAAACACACAAACAAGCACATGAACAAATAAACACACAAACAAGCACATGAACAAATAAACACACAAACAAGCACATGAACAAATAAACACACAAACAAGCACATGAACAAATAAACACACAAACAAGCACATGGACAAATAAACACACAAACAAGCACATGAACAAATAAACACGCAAACAAGCACATGAACAAATAAACACACAAACAAGCACATGAACAAATAAACACACAAACAAGCACATGAACAAATAAACACACAAACAAGCACATGAACAAGCAAACAAACAAGCAAACAAACAAGCAAACAAGCAAGCAGAAATAACAAGAATAAAATATGTCATGTATAAATTAGAAGAGAAAAAAATGGGTGTAAAACATCTGACCAGTTAGCTGAGGTCATAGATCTATGAATTACTGTAAAAGTGTAATGTTGTAGTTAAATAATATGTGGTGAGGCAGCGTGGTGGAATCAGGCTCTCGTCAAAATAATCAATGTGAAGAAACTTGTATTTTTCCACAGGTTTGGGAATTTTCATCAAATTTTTGTTTTTTGGCTCAACACCTTTCATATCCATTAAAGAACTCATTTATGTGTGGATTTTTCTGAAAAACGTGGATTAAAGGTAGGCTACAAAAAATATAAATTTTTAGTTACCACGGACTCTTAAGCTAAGGAAATAACTAAACATTGGCGGCCATTTTCTCACTAAATGTACCTCTGAAAATAGGCGAACCCCACCTCCTTCTTTCGCAAATATCTCGACTTGTATTCAAGATAAATGGATATTTTTTCATCCTTATAATAAAGACAAGCAAACAAGCTTTAAGATGATACCAATAACTCTACATGCCCAAAAATTGACGAGAGCCTGATTCCACCACGCTGCCTCACATATGCTGTAATGATTAGGTTCTGTATTTGGTTCAGCACTTAACTTGCCAATAAAAGTTCAACGCGTTTGCCAGGATTCCTATTGTTTTGTTTGTTTGTTTTTGTGCTTTTGGTTTGGGGGTTTTGGGGAGGGGGCTGTATTTTAGAAGGTATTTGAAGGAAGCCCCAACAGACGGATGAGTACGGTACTCTTTAAGACTCGCGTGGAGACGCAAGAAAGTCTTGGGTGAATATAATTCACAAAGTTTACACTAAAATACAGGGGACGGGTGATGTCGCTGTTTAATGTTTTGCTTCTTTATTTTTTTATTTTTTGGTAGATCTAGTGTTTTACCTGCACTCGCAACTGCATAACGTCACGAGCGCACTAGACACCCCGAACATTTTCAGTTGGTAGGGAATTCTGAATTTTGCTCCGTGGCGGCCGAAGCCTGCTCTTATCGATTTTGGACCACCAAGGGATCTTAACTTGCGCAACTTGCACACAGGACCTCCGATATTTTTCGTCCTTGTCCGAGAAGGCTAGGTGTACATCTTACCAGAAGATCAAGGGTGCGGCGTGCGGCTGAAAGACAGCAGTAAGAAGGAGCCAAGGAGTGGCAGTAGAAAGGCTGCAGAGCGAGTCAGGAGCCCAGAGGAGGAGGCAAATGAGGTGAAAGGGTGGGGGCTGAAAGTTTCCCGTTGCTATCCGGATTCGAACCCGGGACCTATTGAATGAGAGGTGAACACCTCACCCTTTGGGCCACGAGAACTCCCTTGTCGCTGTGTATAATAGCCTATATGGTCGCTTTTAAGGACAAGCGGGTTAATCTAGATCTTGACGGTTTCCAGAAATCTTGACTTTCACCAAAAGTGGGCATTGCCCTACCTATAGGAGAAGTTTGATTTCAATTATGTGTGTATTTGTTTAGTTATAGTTATATTATAGAGAAAACTCCCTTGTCTTTTTTAAAAGAAACTGAACAAGGGTCAAAAACTTTACCTTCGATTTTCTCAAAACAGCATTTTCCGGGATAACCCCCTTGTGCTTAAAAGCGACCAATATTATTATGATGGGCAATTGAAAAGCTAGATAGGCCCTACTGTTTAGTGATTCTGTATGCACCTGAAGAGCAGATTTTGATATATAGATCTAGATCTAGGGCCCTAACAAAAACTTCTTTATTAATGGATCAAGATTTTGGGGAGAAAAAATTGTTTGGTCGCAGAGAGAGAGAGGAAAGCAATCAAGCTATAGCTATACATACAAGTGTATATTATATATAAAACATTGTATATAAATTTTTAAAATTATAATAATTTTTGGCCAGAAACGATTTGTTCACTTGGTTTAGACATTTTTAACTGCAAAGTCTACCCTACGTCCGGCCTAGCAACTTTAATTAAGCTACTGATCTACTTCCGGTGAACTGAGAAGGAAACGAACAAGACGAGGAATTTTGGGAGTTTCCACTTGGAATTTATTCAGTTATTTTGTTTTAATGGATGGCTGATAAGAAAACTGTAGGCCTAAACACTAAAACTGTCACTTTAGAAACCTGTGATCGAACAGCTTTATGTTCATTGGTATTTGGGTGCGCTCGTCTCCACTTTTGATCGATGGATGAGCCAACGGATTTGTCTGTTGGGGCAGTAGGCCTAGCAGACGGGGTGCATACCAAACATGAGATCGACTCCCCGATGTCTGCTGGGTCTGTTTCGGAACAGACTGTCGAAGATAGTCCAAATATGAAAGAGGAAGAAACTTATAAATCTAGATCTAGTCCTGGTGTTGAAGGGCAGCAGTTGTCGAGAAATGATGGAATCAATCATGGAGCTTTAGTCATGCAAATGAAACCTGGCATTGATGGACACGACTTTGAAACAGAAATCCGTCTTCATCAAGTATCGAACGAATGGGTTCCTTCTTCGAAAGGGTCAAATAAAGGTGCTAAAAATGATCAAAAGACTTATAAGTTTACATCAGATAATGATAGTGGCAATAGTTATTTCTCCCTGTGCCAGAATGTCACAGGAACTATGAACACTGATAGCAAGAATATAAATGGTGACTGTGGTCAAGGGAAAACTCAAACTCTCACTGATAGCAGTGGTGAGCTTATCCAAATTGTGAAAACAGAACCGCTATCTGACTGCGAAGATGAAGTGCAACCGGAAGTTGAGAATTTCGTAAAACAAGAAGTGTCAGATTTGGAGAGTCCAGATTTCTCAGAGATAGGAAAGACAGAAAGACAAGAAGTTGGAGATGCGGAGGACCAGATGTGTGTTGATCCTACGTCGGGTGAGGATCACATCAGTCAGGCTGGCAAACACCAACCACAAGTCTCCAACTCAAATAGCTCGTGTAAGAATCAGAGTTCAAACCCAGTCACCCCTGCTGCTGCATCCAGTAGTTCGACTTTGTCTGCCCATCCAGCTCTGCTCAGTCTTTTAGAGCGCAGAGTCACAAGTTCTGGCCCTGCGTGGAATCAAGATCATAATTTAAGTGAGTTTACTGCCTTTTATATTAAAAGTTATTGAACACAAAATCTATTTTTAAAAGGCTGACCATGCATAATTTCCATGCTCCCAGAGAATCAGTGTCTTTATTAAACTGCTCCCAGTCTCCTGCCCAATGCACTGTCTAACTTTATATGGTGTTCTTTACACTTACAGCGTATAGTTTTAAGTTAGTTTTAAGTCTCATATCAATGAGGTCTTGTGATTTCAGGAAGTAAACTTAAATATCATTTATCATTTATGTCTAGTCGTTAGCGAGACTTTTATAGTGAAGCAGAAGTTGTGTAAAACTTTTGTCCCTTTTCTCCAGGGCTATTCTAACCAACATCACCTTTCAGATTTTGTTAAAATTTATAGAATGAAACAGATCATAACCTGTTCAATTTTCCAAAATTTCTCACTGAGGGCAATTATTGCAAGGTGCAATGCTGCTTTCAAAATATTTTTTGTAGCGAAACTATCAAATAAACTTTAGTGTCTTGGGATGGCTCTGTCTAGCATAAAAATTTTAATACAGGAAAATCTCAGATTTCAGTTTCGATTGTTACAAAAGTAGAGTATTGTTTTGAAGCAGGAAGTGGCGAGCCGGCTGGCGGTCCAGCGTTTGGAGTAACATGAGTCATGAAACATGACTGGTGGTAATGAAAGACTTATCATTTGTGAGATGTGCTTACAAATTCAAATGAGTTACTTCTCGGATTTTAGCCTTGTGAAAATTGATACATCAGCTTCATAGAGGTGGAGTTTGTACATTTTGTGAATTGAATAATAAAGGACACGTTAGACTTGAAAAGAAAGGCATCAATTAAAAATCTATCAATCTGACCCCAGTGTCAATTTTCGACCGATGTCTCTCCATTCTTAGATTGCGAGAAGTAACTCATTTTGTTAGCATCATGTCTCACATTTGTCGGTTGTGATGCGTCCTGTTCGTTCAGGAATCGATTTCTAGGCCATCGAAGTGAGAACAGAATGCTCAAATGTAATGAAATCTGTACATCGTCGAAAAGTTTACGCAATTTTTTTCCTGATGCAAAACGGTATTTTAATATATTTCGATCGGTTGAGTCTAAATTTAGAGACTGCGAGAACTTCGTGGCCTTTTGTTTTCTTGTCAAAACAACGTAAAAGTTTCGTTTCAGTGATTACAAAAATGGCTTTTTTAATGCGATGTCAGGCATTTGATTCCGGTTCAGCAGCATGGAGAGCCGCAGGAGAGTCGGTAAGTGTTTTGTTCTTGTCCCCATAGAGGTTGTACTTGTCACATCCGACAAAAAGCATCAAATCCGACAGACATTTTCCTATTCTTAATCGAAATCTCAAAAACTAAGCAGGGGATTTGAAACTTTTTTAAAATCTCTCAATTACATTTGCTTTGACAATTTGCCCAATAACAAAGTTGAAGTCATTTGGGAACAGAAGTGTGGCAATATTTGATAGAAATCAATTTACCTGAAATTTTCTCATGAACAATCGGTGCTGTAAATCCATGTACAAAAATTACATTTACTCGATAATAAATAATATATTCACAATAAGGGCTGTGCTGTCCCAGGCTAACAGAGCTGCATTGTAGAGCTACTTGTTTTATTGATTATTTTCTAAGATGTAATACTCTAAGTGGTCTTCAGGTGTAAGGCTGTTTGCTCTTTAGAGGGCGCCATTGGAAGGTCCTACTTACTTTACTGTCCCTCCATTATTTCTGTCTGTCTGGTTCTTACTTTTTCCTAGCGCTAAATAACCATTATTGTATCGATGTGCCTCTCTTTACTCAAACAAACAAACCAAAGCCTATTTGCTCTCATGTTTTCCAAACCTCACTCTCGTGATTAAGTTTCATCTGTGCTGAATTAATCACCATGTCATACTTTGGTCCAGGCCCCCTCCGCTGTGAGCTGCCACGGAGACAGCGCCACCCCAGCAAACTCACAAACGCAGAGTACTGCAGGACATATATAGACAGTAAGACAGTAGAGACTGATAGAAGTGAAGCAGAAGGCCTGAGAAAAAAGTAGAAAGAACCACGACCGGCAGAGGAGTGAGGAGGAAACGAGGGAACATCGGGAAAAGTTACAACTGAGGTCAAAGGTGTATAGGTAAGTATTTTTTTAAATAAATGATGACACACTGTACAGTTTGAGTTTGTTTGGTTTGGGGTTGGTTTTTTTAGTTTGTAGAAGCACAACGCCACAATAATGGTCTTTAAAATGTAGTTGTGGGGAAAAGTAAGACAGACAGAAACAACAGAGGGAAAGCAAAGAAGTAGGACCTACCTGTAGTTTGTTTGTTTTGAGGATAGAGAAGCACATGGACACAATTAATGTCATTTAGTGCTGAGAAACAGTAAGATAGACTAAAATAACAGTGGGTAAGAAAAGGAGTGCGACTTACCAGTGGCGACCTCGAACCACCGGTACACTTTACAGTAGAGCCTGCCCTAACAAACCACCACCTGTTTAAGACAATTACCTGTACTAATGACGACTTCCCATTTCCCAACTAGCGTTTAAAAATATATATATTGTAATGTCACAGTCCAAGACGACAAGGACGAGCGATAAGGACGATAGATGTTTGATAGGAAAGAAGAAGCAAACTACACCAGAGCATCTGTCAACCACCCACTACTGTGTGACTGTGAGGCAAAATGTCATTCCAAAAGTGTTTCACCTGTCTGAGACAACCATGTTTCTCAATAGTGGGTGGGTGTCTTGAACAATTCTGACTGCAGTTTTGTTACAAGCATAATGCATGCATGCTGAATGTTATTGCTAGCATAAGTTGTGCCTACTTACTTCTTGGAGAATCAAATGTATCGTCTTGTTGCAACTCACTTCTATCTTTAAGAATTAACACACTCTATGGAACATTACAGCAAACTGCTCACGTCACTACATGGAATTGGACAGAGGGGCAAGGACCCAGCTGTTGTTGAATTGATAACTACAACAACAATAATATCATTAAGAATACATAGACATTAAGTGTCATAAAATGTAAATTAGTGCAGCTATAATTAATTCTATACATATGCATGGTTGGGATAAATGTAGCATGACCCCCAAAAAATTGGTAGTGGCTGTAGATGGATGCTGTAATTTGTTTAATCCTCTTCTTAATTCTTCTATTTTTAAGGTAATAATAACAGTAAGCTCTATGCGCTTTACTATCTACATCATTACTCCAGCAAACCTGATAGCATTTTGAAACAATCTCAACTTCCTAGGAAGCATACAGCGCTAGCTCCCATTTTTTCAGGCTCTGAAGCATTAACATCTTGACAAGAATCATATTTAACAATGTTATTTATAATGACATGTTTCTGATGCGTTTAACTTAATGTTGTAAATCTGTCATGTTATTTTATTATTCTTAGAGAAAAGAAAACGCAACGGGTGAAAGTAGCCCAACATCTTTTGTCATCCACACCCAAGCCAAAGACAGAATGTGCAACAGAAAAACGACAGGAGAGATGGATGGAAAGAAGAAAAAGGACCACAAAGATTTTCATTGTTACCGCTAAAGTAGCGTCGTCACATAGAGAAATGCCAAGGTCATTGCCAACAGCACGAAGACCATCGGGGTGGGTTTTTTGCCTCTGTAGAGACAGTCAGTGCGTTTAATTGGAAGGAATCGTAAGGGAAGCGCGAGCTAGATCTGTTGCATACGAACATACAGACCTCGCAAGTACTCCGATAATATTATTTGAGCTCTCTGATGGTTTTTTGCCCATCCAAGAACCCTGATCAAATTTACATAAAGTCTGGGTTTTTTCCCCATCAAGTCGTGCATGACGTACAGTAAATGACAAGTAAATAGACATTTTTATTTGAGTGTACATGTAATACAGAGGGTGCGGTGGTGGAGCGGTTTGTGCACTCATGTCCGAAGCGGAAAGTCCGGGTTCGAGCCTCAGTTCGGACACTGATTTTTTTTCGCCCCTACCTGCCCACCCAGCAGTTATGGGTACCTGACTTCGAGTTGGAAAGTAAAGGCGGCGTGGAAAGGAACTGGCCACCTTACCACAATATGCCGAAAGTCCCAGGGAGTTGTCATCATCATCATTGCCTTTCTCACCCTGCACCAGGGTATAGGCCACAAACAAACACTTTCCACCTTTCCCTATCCTGTGCTAGCTTCTTGATGTTATTCCACGTCTTCCCACTTTTCTGTACATGGATTTCAGTGACTATTCTCCAGGTTCCACATGGTCTTCCCCTTGATCTTTTACCGTGTGGGTTGTGAATGCGATCATTGATGATTAAAATGTTTACATTGATTTATTGATATTTTTTTGTACTGTGTGCTGCTTGTTCTAATAAACAACTTGAAGCCTGCTCAAATATTGTTGGTTGTTGGTTTGACTCTCTGTCAATCTTCTGTCCATTGTTTGATGTAAGCTTTTAGTCTTAGCAAGAGTTTTGTGGCACTTGCAACGGAATTAGGTTATATCAATGCCGAAGGTTAAAGATGTTACTGTGGGTGGTTGGCGGTTGCTCTGGTGTGGTTTGCTCCTTCTTTCCTATCAAGCATCTATCATCCTGATCTCTCCTTCTTTTTTTATGTTTGTTACTCTCTTTTAACCCCTCAAATCTTCGGCACTTATATGACATTATTGTGTTGCAAGTGCCGTAAAACTCATACTTTTAAAAAAAAAGAAAGATGTTACTAGAGTAAAATAGAAAGGCAAAAAAGGAGGGGAGATGAAGACAATAAATGTCTGATAGGAGAGATGCAAGTCACACCAGAGCACCCGCCAACCACCCTCTGTGTGTGGCAAAATGTCATTCCCAAAGTGTTGGAGCGTGTCGAAAAAAATAACTTGGACCTGACTGTTGATGTGGCCATACTTTAGCAGGTGGTTGGCGGGTGTTCTGCTGTGGTTTCCATCCTCTTTCCTATCAAACATCTATCGTCCTTATAACTATCTCTCCTCCTTCTTTATTGTCTTTGTTACTCTCTTGTAACATCTTTAATCTTTGTCACTTATGTGACCTTATTGTGTTGCAAGTGCCGTAAATCGCTTACTAAAACTAATACTTTACAGACATACCTTATTCTGTTTGTCAATGCTATATATATAGCATCATCATGGTTGCTGTAAGTCGGAGAATTCCCAAAAACTTCTTGACTGACCATGATGTAATGGTGTGGTGCTTAGTCTTAGGCGTTTTACCGTTGTACACAGAAGACCCAAGTTCGATTCCCAAGGACAATTATAATCGAATATATATCGGTGTTTCTGTTGACATGTTGTATCCTCCTCGGCCCAGGTTGGCCCTGGCGGGCAGGGTTGAAGCCCGCCTCCTATATCATCTAAACTGTGACAGTGGGGGTGTAGAAAACCCCACACTCCTCCAGTCCTGTGTAAACCATGATAGTGGGTGGTTGGCGGGTGCTCTGGTGTGGTTTGCTGCTTCTTTCCTGTCAAATATCTTTCGTCCTGTACTCTCCTCCTTCTTTTTTATGTTTGTTACTCTCTTAGTAACACCTCTAATCTTCGGCACTTATATGACCTTATAGTGTTGCAAGTGCCGTAAAACTCTTCTTACTAAAACTAAAACTTATACCATGATAGATCTACATGGTGCTGTTTTGTATTATGTACGCTATGTGCCCCTTTCATTAGGACAGAAAGGGTTAAATTAAGATTGGGGGGGGGGGGAGTGGTGAAAAGATCTCTGTTGGAACTATGTTCTTTGGATTATTTTTTAATGCATTTAGCACATTCCTAGTGGAAATAAGCTATATAAATTATGTAAGTGGTTATCATAATGTGTCGTTTATCGTCTTTCAGGTGGTGTGAACGATGCCTTGACAGGTGGTCTCAAACCAGCCCAAGAGAAACTGGTCCAGAAACGACGCGACGACATCTTAAGTTGTACTCTGGAGACGAAGCAAACGGCTCACCAACGGAAAGTCAACAACGTGCTCCGAGACGTGGCTGCCTCTGGGGATGTCCGAGCTGCCGTGAAGTCCTTGGACCTCCAACAGCCCAGCGCCGCGGAGAATAAGCAGTTCATGTGGAGTAAAAGTCTCATTGATACGTGCCACTTGTATTTGATACGTTCTTCCGCGATGAAGGCGACGGCTGCGAGCGACGAATCGGAGAAAGATGGCCGTGAGGCTGTGCCGAAGGATGTTTCTGACGATAACAGCAGCAACGGTGTTGTGGAAGATACGTATAAAGTTGTGAAATGTTGCATGAGCGGGCGTTGCCACGTGGAGAACCCCGCAGAGTGTAGTGGGAAGAAAGAGTCGGACTCTAACTGTGGCGGTTCAGGTTTGAACCTCAGTTTACCCGCGGTGAAGGAAAAACCGTTCACATGTGATTTTTGCGGGAAGCGTTTTTCGTGCAGCGGCAACTTGAAGAGTCATCGGAGGACGCACACGGGGGAAAAGCCGTACCCGTGCGACATATGTGACTTGCGGTTTGCACGCAGCACGGACCTGGTGCGGCACAGGAGAACACACTTGACCGAAAAGCCCCACAAGTGCGATGTGTGCGGCGAATGTTTTGCCAAAGTTCAGGAGCTGCAGAGACACTACCGAAGACATACGGGGGAAAAACCGTACAAGTGTGACATGTGCGATTTCAGCTGTCGGAAGAATAAGGATCTCGTTCTGCACAGAAGGAAGCATACGGGTGAAAAACCGTACAAATGCGAAGTTTGCGACGTGAAGTTTGCGCGGAGGTCGTACCTGGTGGTTCACCAGAGAAGACACACGGGCGAAAAGCCTTTCATCTGCGATATTTGTGATGTGGGGTTCGCTCATAAAAACACGCTGCAGAACCACAGGAGGTTACACTTCGGAGAAAAACCGTACAAATGTGAAATTTGTGATGCGGGGTTCGCACAGAAATCTGGACTCGTGTGCCACAAAAGGAAACACACGGGGGAGAAGCCTTACATCTGTGAGATGTGCAACGTAGGGTTTGCACACAAGAAAAACTTGCAGAATCACAGGCAGTTACACCTGGGAGAAAGGCCGTTCAAGTGTGAGGTGTGTGGGGAGGGGTTCACAAACAGGAGCATTTTGCAGAGTCACAGTCGGACGCACAGTTTAGAAAGACCTTTTTTGTGCGACATTTGCGGTGTCGGCTATAAGTGGAAGAACACGCTGAAAATTCATAAAATGAAGCACTTGAAAGAAAAACAGAAGGTGTAAAGTTTGTGGTTACTGGTGAGTGTGTGGTGCATAAAATTTGTGGTTTTGTGGTTACAAATATGTGATAATTTGATAAGGAAGTGTCTACGTACTCCCCGATTGGGGTCTACGTAGTCATGGTGTCTAGGTGGACCCCAAAAATGTTGGATTGTGATTGGCTTGCTGAGCGAGCGGTAGTTTACATTGGTTACAATGCAAGGCTGCTAGGCCTACTTACTGATCATCTCGGGTTGTGATTGGATTTATCATGTGTTACAATAATTTATTTATTTTAGCCTAGAGAGAGAGAGAGTATTTAATGAATAAATGTATCTAGATCTAGATCTAGATTTTGTTGTGCACCCAGCCAAGAGTGTGCAGTTCGGTCTAGAATTAGATTCTAGATCTAGATATGTTTATTAATTAAATACTCTCTCTCTGGGCTAAAATAAATCAATTATAGTAACACTAGATCGACACACCGCCCGAGATGATCAGTAGCCTTGCATTGTAACCAATGTAAACTACCGCTCGCTCAGCGAGCCAATCACAATCCAACATTTTTGGGGTCCACCTAGACAGCATGACTACGTAGACCCCAATCGGGGAGTACGTAGACACTTCCATTTGATAATCAAGTAAAGGCAATCTGCCGAGGCGCCAAAGAGTGAGACATATCGCTACCTCAGAATTACAACAGTTCTGTCTGCTCAATTTGAGAACTTTGACGTCAAAATTTTTTAGTTTCACAATATGACAAGCTTTTTCGAATGCGTTTTTTTTTTTTAATCTTGATAATGACTCTAAATTATAACTTGAAATTTTTTTAAGATTGTGATAGAGCAGGTAGAACATTTGGTTTCTGACCTCATGGTTTTAGTAACTCAAAACGGCCAAAAATTTGAGGAGATAAAACTTTGTAATTCCAAGTTAGCCATATATATACATACACATCTCATCTGTAGTTGACTGTATTACATTTTTCAACCAGAAAATGTTTGTGGTGCCTTGTTAGTACTGGTATTTCTTACTTACAGAGACAGGAAAGAATGCATTTATGTTAAAATTATGTTAATAATGAGTGTTAGTGTTAGTTCTTACAACGCGGAAAGCTATTTTTCACTTTTGTTTTGTCATCAAATTTGTCAGCATCACCAATTTCCTAATAGCTATGCTTTTTTTTTTTTATTGAACCTACAATCGAACGTGTTCTTAATTGCCACCTGTATAAGATAATCACCTGTACGAACCGCCTCTTGTGGGTGGTTGGCGGGTGCTCTGGTGTGGTTTGCTCCTTTTTTCCTCCTATCTAACATCTATCGTCCTTTTCTCCCCTTTTTCTTTCTTTATGTTTGTTACTCTCTTGTGACACCTCTAATCTTCTGGCGCTCATATGACCTTATTTATGTAGTTGCGAGCGTCGTAAAACCTCTACTAAAACAAACGAACTGCCTCTTCCCATTTCCCCCTCCTTCCATTTAAAAATCCGAAAGTAAATAAAATACCTGATTTTTTTTCGTCTTCTATTTGAGCAACCTCTCAAAACCCGAAAACCTGGCAGAACCGAATAATATCTGGCGGTCCGGCAGATTTAGGTTCACAATTGAAGCAAATTCCCCAATATTAAGGAATAATTTGAAAGTTCCAGCAGCAGTAAAATGCAAAATTTTTGTTTGGAATGTCCTTATCTTCAGTTCTCTTTGTGTCTTTAAAATAACTTGTTGTAGTGTTCCTTCTATCATGTATGTACGTATGTTTTCATTTTCTCCCTTGCTGAACCACATAATATTCTATCATATATATATATAACCGACAATCATCATTTTTTTTATCTTAACATTAGAGAAACCAAGCCCAATGTGTGCAGAATTTATATATATGTATATGTATATTGTATATTATATACATGATTCTTTCAGGAAATGTCCTGATTTTTTTTTGTCTTAAAACCTCAACTCACATGTGGATCTGATTTGTTTCCCTTTGTTCTGGAACCTTCTACAACAATCTTTTGCCGACGCTAATGACTTCTGTTTCTTCCTTCTAAGTTCTTTCACATTTCCTTTAAAAAAATGTTAGAGCATTTCGCTACCTCAGCTTTACAAAGTTCTGTCCAACATTTTTGGTTGTGTAGAGTTTTACAAAGACCATGAGGTCGGAAAGGAAATGTTCTATCTGCTCAAACTCAAACAAAATGGTAAAGCTAGATATTCAGTGTCGTTATTATCAAGATATTCAAAGAATTGCATTCGAAAAAGCTTGACATAATATTGTGAAACTCAAAAATTTTGATGTCAAATTTTTCAAAACTGGGTACTGAGCGAACAAAATTTTGTAATACTGAGGTAGCAGTTTGGCTCTGATTCACAAGTGGACAGTTGTGTTTTAAAATAATGTCATCGAGGATCTGCGTCTTCCAACTTCAACTTCAAGCTAGGGTGCTGTACCATGCTCCAGAGGTCTCAAAGTGAAAGCAGCCTATTTCTTTATATAAAGAACCTAAATCACGTCGATAGAGATGGAAAGTATAATTTACGGACCAGGCTATTCCACTGTGACTGACGGGACGAATGAGGTACTTTTTTTTCTGTCCCGTCAGTTACCGAAACTAAACACATCACAGAATTTGTCAAATGTACTTTTTTTTTTTTAATGTACAGAAAAGTGGAAAGACATGGAATAACTTCAAAAGGCTAGCCCAGGATAGGGAAAGGTGGAAAGTATTTGTCCGTGGCCTATACCCTGGTGCAGGGTGAAAAAATGTTTGTCCATGGCCTATACCCTGGTGCAGGGTGAGAAAGTGTTTGTCCGTGGCCTATACCCTGGTGCAGGGTGAGAAAATGTTTGTCCGTGGCCTATACCCTGGTGCAGGGTGAGAAAGTGTTTGTCCGTGGCCTATACCCTGGTGCAGGGTGAGAAAGTGTTTGTCCATGGCCTATACCCTGGTGCAGGGTGAGAAAGTGTTTTTCCGTGGCCTATACCCTGATGCAGGGTGAGAAAGTGTTTTTCCGTGGCCTATATCCTGGTGCAGGGTGAGAAAGGCAATGATGGTGATGATGACTATTTTTTTTTCTTCAAGTGATTGCATTTAATTTTAATGTGATTCTTAAATATGTCTTTCAAATGTTCTGATCATTTAAAATTGAAATAGATTAATTGATATTGAATTACAGTGTTATCATTGCTTGTAAGAAAGTATAGTCCAAATGTCCCGTCAGTAGAAAGGAATATAGACAGCGAAAGATCTTGTCAATTTGTTACTGTTTGAGCCCTTAATTGATAGCTTACACTCTGTGCTTCCCTGTAAGGGGAGAATGTTTCCGAGTGTTCTTAGGTCTGCTGGGGTAGTAATAGTTGTAAAGCTGTAGAGCATGGGTATGTACTATAAATGCAATTATTATTATTGTTATTATTATTATTATTATTATTGCTAGTGTTAGTATTATATTATTATTATTATTATTGCTAGTGTTAGTATTATATTATTATTATTATTATTATTGTTATTATTATTATTATTATTATCATTTTCATTTTTTTTTCTGAATCGTGTTATCATTGTTATTATTACTTTGTTGAAACTGGAACAATCTTTTTGATGGTTAAGCTTTAAAAACCATATACACTGGAGTCCACATAAACGGAACACAGATAATTACTCTGATCGAGACCATGTAATAAAACTAAAAATATCTTTAACCCTTTCTGTCCTGAAATTATTTAGCTTTGTATTTAGCAACCTGGCTGTTGCAAGGAAAATCTGGCTGTTCCGCAGATTTCGGTTGAAGTGGATAAATCCGGGGGTCCCAAGATTTCAGTTGAAGTGGATTCCACTGTATTGTGTTAGAACTGTAGGATCCAGCTCTCTCTGTACAAACATTATAGGTTGTGGGTTCGAATCCCATCAGAGGTCTGACGTCGTGTCCTTGGGAAAGGCATTTTACATGAGTTTTTCTCACGTCACTTCACTCAAAAGGGATTGGGTACCCAGCCGTAGACAGTGAAAGATCTTATCAGTTTGTTAGTGTTTGAGCGCTTAAATGGCTGTTTGCACCGTATACTTCCAGGGAAGCTGAGAATGTTTCAGAGTGTTCTGGGATAATGATACTGATGTAGATTGTAATGCGTATTTAGCTTACTTTTGAAATTTGAGTGGGGTTGTGTGATGCAAATGCTATTATTATTATTATTATTATTATTATTATTATTTTTATTGTTATTATTATTATATAATTTTTATTTTATCGTTCGTAATTATTATGTCTATGCAAAGCGTTTGTTTTTGGTGGTTGGCGGGTGCTCTGGTGTGGTTTACTCCTTCTTTCCTATCAAACATCTATCGCCCTTATCTCCCCTCCTTCTTTTTTGTGTTTTTTACTCTCTTGTAACACCTCTAATTCTAATTGCTATTCTTCGGCACCTATGTGACCTTATTGTGTTGCAAGTGTCATAAAACTTTTTTTTAAACTTTTTTTCTTTGTATGTCTTGTTTCTCTCCAGTAAAACCCTCTAACCTTTGAGTGGGTGGTTGGCGGGTGCTCTGGTGTGGTTTGCTTCTTCTTTCCTATGAAACATCTATCGTCCTTATCTCCCCCTTCTTCTTTTTTATGTTTGTTACTCTCTTGTAGCACGTCTAATCTTCTGGCGCTCATGTGACCTTATGCAGTTGCGAGCGCTGTAAAACCTCTACTAAAACTAAACTCTAACCTTTGGCACTTATATATGACCTGTTTGTGTTGTTTCTGTCTGTCTGTCTTACTTTTTCTCAGCACTAAATGACCATTTTTGTGTGGATGTGCTTCTCTTTACCCAAACAAAACTCCTCCACGATGTGTAAGTCTTCTTCGACAGGTTTTTAGTTTTTGTAGAGGTTTTACGGCGCTCGCAACTGCATAAGGTCATATGAGCGCCCAGAAGATTAGAGGTGTTACAAGAGAGTAACAAACATTAAAAAAAGAAAGGGAGATACGGATGATAGATGTTCGATAGGGAAAAAGGAGCGAACCACACCAGAGCACCCGCCAACCACCCACCTCAACGGGTTTGACTGTGAACTTATTATGTACTTAGATAAACGTAAGGCCTGCTGACAAAATGAGCTACTTCCACAATCCACAACTGGAGATACGGTATTGGCCAAAAGTCAACACTCGGGTCAAATTCGTAGATTTT